TGATTGGCTAGAGTAATTACATTGGTTTTGGTTTTTCTACACAGTTGAAAACCGCTATATCAATCACTTCTTCAATCAATCACTAGGAATATATCTTAAGTCTCACAGACTAGCTACGATACTTACTTACTACAGTTTATAAGGTAGTTATTAAGCAGAAGTGTCGACATCCATCTGCAATTTACTAAAACTAAGTCAAACTAAACTCGTACAATGTACGAGGAGTTGCAATTTTGACATTGCCGAAAGTAATTACAAGCAAGTACGGATTAAAATCGACAAGATATCAAGGGGCCAAGCTATGGAACGCACTACCAAACCGATACAGGGAAATGAGTAACTATAAATTGTTCAAGAAAAGTATACTTAAGGTAGACCTGACGAGCCGCTGCACCTAGAAGTTCGACCCATGTCGATATGTTTTATAATTTCTCTTTGTTGAATTATTAGTATGTATGTATTTTCATATTTTAACGATTTTAACGGTGATAATACATTTTTAATATTATTCATTGTGAGTTATTTTATTTCTTATTTATGTCGTGACTAGACCTGTGAAGTAGCTCTCTATGTCTCAGTCACTTTAATAAAGTCTTCCTTACTTAAAGTTTTACTTATATAATACGTTGTTCACGTCAAGCAAGGTCTGAAATGTTGAGCAATTCCCATTTTCTTTGTTGTCAGGTTATCACCACAGTAACATCTTCAAGCAGTCTGTCGTCACTTGGCGTTTAAACCAGTCAGAATGAGAATACCAGGTCACATGGAAGCATATTCCGTGGATTTCAGAACTGAACAAGACGCACTTCGCTTCGTCTTCAGTGTTCACGAGAGACGTCCTAGTACATATTTTCGTCCCAAACACTCCCGCACCCATTGTTCTTTATTTGATCTTTCCATACCCAGCAGCGATTTTAACTTCAGAATTTTACGGGAAAGTCAATTTGCTGACCGAAATTTAATTTCTCCCAAGGCTTATTAGAAAGACAGTTATGGAAACAAAGTGCATTGAAGGAGAATTCAAATGCTAGCGTTGGGTGTTAAAAAAATAAATCTTCCCCTCGGATATTAGTTAACAGTAATCAGCCGAAAATTGGACACTACAGTGCGATTATGTTACTGTGAAGTCTTGCTACTTGCTGCAGCACCTGGGAATTCAAGCATGTCCATCTGTAATAGAGTCACAAGAAGTGTAGAAGAGACGAGACAAGAAGGAATGTTGCCGTCAAAATTATACCATTAATTTAATCAATATTTACGCTGCTAAGCTACAGACATAGCTTTTGCATCTGTTTTGCTGTATGGAAAGTAGCGTTGTTTTATATTCGGTAAAAGCTCCAGGCGAGTTTGTCCGTTATTGCTAAGTTGTATAGCTGATAAATCTTTGCTCAGTGTCTCGTTTAGGGGACTCGTCTTAAATTAGTTCATGAACAAGGGTCATTTTAGAATTGAGAATTGATATAGCGAAAAATTAGTAGTATAACATCATGGATGACAAATAACTCCTTAATTTTTTCCGCGAAATGTCTGCGTTAATTTATGATTTCACATTTGACATTACA